TAGGGTGGGGGGGGGATTGGTAACCATTCAACTAAAATAGGGCATATTAACAGTATATTTTAAGCAAAACAGTTGCAGATTTTTGAAAGAGATGTGAAAAGGAGCATTAATGGCTAGAAACTTAATGTGCATTTATAGGTTTTTTTTTTTGTATTGCTGTATGTGCCCATTCTGCGAAGATGTAGCCCCTCTATTTATACTGGAGGCCAACATCCCCATAACTGAAAGTGAGGGAAAAGCCAACATTTTGTGTTGTCACAGGAACAACTGATAAGGACTCATTTGGATGGCAACTAGATAACGAGAGCTTTTTTTTTTAATTCAGAGAGATTTGCTCTAACCTCCTGCCGTTTCTCCAAGACAGAAAGAAAAGGAAAAGCTCTCCGGGGGAAAGAAAAAAAAAAAACCAAAAAGGTTTTAACAATGCCCTACTCTACCAAAAACTAAAACCAATGGCTTTAGACTTCGTTTACATTAGGCCTGCAACCGACTAAATCGATAATAATCAATTATGAGAATAGTTGTAAACTATTCTCAAGATGGATTAGTTGGTTGGATCCCCTAGCTCTCTCCTCCATGCTGGGAGGAGGGCCTAACAAGCAGTGGGTGGGTGCAATAGCCAGCCTGCCGAAGCAATTTGAAGTGGTCAATAGCAGGCTGGCTATTGCCCCAGCCCACTACCTGCTGCATTTGCATTCAGCCGCCGTCTGCGGAATCTTGCCACTGGCAGCTGCCATTCCCTGGCTGAAGCTATTCAAGGCATTTCAGCCTGACAAAATCTGCTGTGGGAGGTGTGTTGCAGTGCTATTCATTTCAATGGCACCCCAAACGCGCCTCCCACCCACAGTGTAATCGCCCACACTGGAAAGTACGGTACCGCAATGCCGTGCGTTCCAGTGCGATTGCATAAAATTTTGCATGCAGTATTATTTTTCCGTAAACCGTTTTGTATGCAACTGCATTTGTGTATTTAGTTTTAAATTAGGGATGCTATTTACATTTTTTTTATCCGAGGAATCGATAAGGAATCGATTATAAAAAATTATCATTAGTTGCAGCCCTACTTTAGAGAACTATGGGGTTAAGGCTTTTCCCCATAGTTCTCCTTAGGGTAACGGGAGGACACAAACTAGCGTCCTCCCGTCACCCTAGGCTCAGTATACCGCAAGCTATAGCTCGCGGTATACTGAGACGCCGCAGTATACCGCGAGCTGCTGCTCGCGGTATACTGAGGCGCCGCAGCTGATGTGGATCCCGACAATTATGCCGGGATCCGCCCAGCTGCGTGACCGACAGGTGGCTCTGCCTATCTAGAGGCAGAGCCAGCTGTACCCTCCCCCATCCGTTCCGCCAGTCAGCGCTGGCGGATCGGAGCGGGAAGGGGGGAATCCAGCCCCTCCCCTGTCACGGCAGAGAGCTGTGACAGGATCGAGAGGTGAGCGAACGCCGGTATGTGTTCGCTCACCTCCCGATCTACTGAGCCGACCTGCAACAGTCTAATGGTCACAGGTCGGCTAGAACTATGAGGTGAGTGAAAAGCACTCACCTCATAGTTCTCCTTTAAATATTAGATTTTTAAAAGGAATGTTTTATATTTAACGGACAAATAAATATTTCCTCCTAAACATAAAAAGTGGATCTAGCATCAGATATATTTTTTTATGTTCACATGTATGCCATAGAGTAAAGCCCACCACACACGTCACAATTTGATTCTTCAATCTCAGTTTGAATGTATACAGATTGATTGAATAGATTAGGCTGGTCCTCATATTACACAGTTTTAGTAAATCTAAAGTTGATTGTATAGAGACTGTATGGTCAGATTGTAATGTGTGTGGTGACCCTTCGTGTAACACAGGTACTTACTGCCCTTTACAGAGATCGCAGTACTCATGCGACTATGCCTATTGCTTTCCCATCAGGATTGCACCATATTTTATCCAGCATCGGGGGCAGCATATCTGGACCGCATGCTGGCTGAGACAATCATGTCAATCCAGGTGACTGTGCAGTTCTTGGCTGTTTACACAAATGCCTTACAAAGATCTGCCCCCTTCTGCAGCCTCTCACCTTGTGACTTGCTACAAAATTACAATATTGCACTGGTGAAGGGAAGACAGGGGAAATGATTTCCTCTGCTTACAGCAGACTGACATCTCGGCCCAGACAAAAAGTCACCAGCTGGATCTCAAGGACGTCTTTTTTTATTAATAAGGGAGGTGCAGCTTATAAACTGTTGCCCTATATTGTGAAATGTGGCAAATGTATACATGTAGACATGTACAGTTACTGAAAGTCCATGCAAGGCACACTGTCACCAGTAATACGAAATACAATGGGCCGCCTATTCAAGCATATAGTGACCATTGAAGAATATTTTAGTATACAGTCATAGAAGCTGCTTTACATTTACAATTATCTATCAATTTACCTATTTTTGGACTGTTTGCATAGATATGTATCAATCTAATGTAAGGAGAACCACAAAAACTAGAAAGGTCAACAACTGTTATTTCATCGATACTACCGTGTTTCCCCGAAAATAAGACACTGTCTTATATTTTTTGGGGCTCAAAAAAACACACCAGGTCTTATTTTCGGGGTAGGTCTTATTTTTTTTTTTATGCACAACACTTCAATCCACACTTATTTATGTATAACAGTCTACATGTATTCAAGTACAAAAATATTGTGATCAGGGCAATCAGGGGTGCCGTACCTTTCCAAGAGCAATTTGATAACCAATCGCTGGCCAGAATGAGCGAAGCACGCTTTCACTATCGATTCCTCACAGGCGGAGTGCATTTGGTATCACTCCGCCTGTGACAGGAGGCGGCGCCATAGAGGAGGCATCGGCTTATGCAACTCTGCTTCCTCTAGCGCTGGCTTCGTTGGCACCGCTGATTCTCTCCTGCCTCTTCCGCAATATAGGTCTTATATTTTAGCACTTCCCAAAAATAGTACTAGGTCTTATTTTTGGGGTAGGTCTTATTTTCGGGGAAACAGGGTAGTACTTGCTTTTTAAAGAATTACGGACTCATTTTAGATGTACATCTGCAGTATTTTTAAACCCTGCTATGATCAATTATACTTTTGCCACAGCCCTAATATCAAGTAGTTTTTTTCATTAAAGTTCACACCTAGTGGCTTTATGGTAGAAACTCACTCCTCTCAATGTCCCACATCGTCTACAGGGAACTACAGGTACAGGATAGACTATCTGTTTTTCTGGTCTCCACCTGAGGAACCCTACCCAAGGCATATTGGCTGGTATAAACATAAAAGAAGGTTGCTGTGCTTGTGGACCTCTTGCTTTAAGGATTAATCGGCCTGTGGGCCAGGCTTAGATCTTTTGTTAAAAATAGGGGGTGTATGGCATACTTGGTAGAACTATATACATTTTTAATAACCCAAAAAAGGATTTACAGACTAAGAGAACCAATTAATGAAGGTGGGTCAAATGAGATGCTAGAGATTTCATAAATCGCTTCTCTGTAGTCATGGTCTTTGTATTGCTGACTTTTTTCACTAACAAAAACAGATGGATGATGGAAATGCATGAGCACAGAACGTCACAAAAAGTAAAAGAAAGACATTCTGCAATGTTAAACTGCCAAGTCTGATCTATTTAAAAAATACACACAAAAGATGAATAGCACTATGCAGGTTACTCATTCAACAGCAGTGGCCTGTATACACAATAGGATATTAAGCAAAAGAGTGCTGGCTGAAAAAAAAAAAACAAAGGCCTGAAACTCCTTTTAAAACATCTCGATGAACCATGAAAACTATACTGTGATCTAGTCTCAAGTCATTTTATTGCCTCAAATACACCAAAAGGAAAACATGTATATAAAAAAAAAGGTGTGTGCAAATATAGAACACCACAACGTACAACAAAGTAATGCTGGAACCAGAAGACTAGATCATTTACCTGTGGATCTTTCTATAGGAAAATTTCATACAGCAAAGGGTCTTTCCTTGTGGTTACAAAAATATGTGGAATCTTCAAGCAGGAATACAAAGTTCTTTTGCCCACTGATCAAAGACATTTGCCCATATCTAGGTTTGCTCATTTCTAGCCTCAGGTTTCACTTCACACTAGAATCAAGCTTGAACTCTACTGGTTAACAAGGTTTTTGCAAGCAAGCAGCATGCAATATGCGAAGCAAAAAAAAAATTGATAGATAGGTATAGGATAGATAGATAGGATAGATAGATAGGATAGATAGATAGGATAGATAGGATAGATAGGATAGATAGATTAGATAGATAGGATAGATAGGATAGATAAGATAGATAGGATGTATTTATTTCCTTTCCTCCTAATTTTTTTTTTTTTTTCCACAGAAGAACAAGGACTACCTTTACCTAAACCAGGGTTAGGCAAACTCTGCCCCTCCATCTGTAGTGAACCTACAAAGCCCATCATGCATCTGTGTCTAGCAGTCGTGCCTGTGACTGCCAGAGTCATGAATGAGATTTGTAGTTTCACCACCGCTAGAGGACCAAAGTTACCCCTGATCTAAACGAACGCTAAACCACAATCACCCCCAGCCCTCCTGAGCCAAACTGCACTAATTTCCCTAAAGCTTGGCATGCACCTACAGATTATATGCAGATTTTCTATGGTCAGATGGAAAAAGTACAACAGATTCCACCATCTACGCTAAACTGTGTGGATGGAGAAGTCTCCTGCTGGGCCAAGTATCAGTATCTTGCTAGTTGGCTCCGCTGGCTCTCAAATTACCTGAACAATGCCTGCATCCAATCAGATGGGCCAACTAGCAAGATACTGAAGCTTGGCCAAGATGGAGATTCCTTATAGAAAATCTATAGGTGTATGGCCAGCATTAACTTAAAGCTGGGCTCCAAGCAAACAGCTTACTACACAGATACAATACAAATAGCTGTTTTACCAGCCACAAGATTTGTACTTCTGTCCATCCAATCCTGATATTTACTCCGCAACACAATCCTCCTTGCCAAGAGAGAAGGACTGATTTTTCACAGCAGTTTCACTTTCACTTACATGTCCCCTCTCACCCAACCCTGTGACTGGTCAGTAGAAGCAGCACATTGATGACCTCAACTCTCAATCACATCTTATTGGCGCCTAGTGCTACCTCTTCCTCCCCTTTCTGAGTTTTGCATTTAAAAAAATCAATGTAAGGATGTGTTGATAATTACAGCAATGCATTAGTGCGCGTCTTTTAAGTACATCTGCCTGGAGTTACGCTTTAACCCACCATAGATTTGAATGGGGACCAAATATCAGGACTTAAGATCCTTGATATACAACCCTATATAACTACTTGGGACCAGTGATAAAGCATATTCCCTCAGAAAGCAGGTAAACACTTGTGTGCCACAGCTGTCATACAGAGGTACAATTACCACATAGGGTAGAGTGGGGGGTTAGGGCAGTTTATATGAATTAGAGGCAGGTCTAAAAGGAAACAGGGATTGAAGTGAAGGAAATATGTTAAAAGTGCAATGGCACTGGGAGGCCTAGGAATGGAATTTATTATTATTGGCTGTACTTTTATATTGTGATTTGCAGCTCACTAAACTGATTTCCTCCTGTTTTATCAGTGTCTTCTCTTTAACCAATATCAAAGCAAAGCAAGAACATTTTACATATAAAAAAGGAAATAAAGAAAATCTTTGTGATAACTGTTGAGAACATACCCTCACTGCTTCCTTTAAGGGTTGTATCTGAAGAAAAGCTAGTGTAAGACCTGGAACCCAAGGAGTCCAAGCTATCCCAGGAGTCGTCCCTCTTATGAGCAGAATCAACGCTTTCTCCTTTTTCGCTGTACCACAAATCACCACAGCCGCTGTCTCTACCGCTTCTCTTCAAACCGCTGGATTCTTCTAGAGCCTGAAAATGATGGTACAATTATAAGTGATGCCAAGTAAGAATGGGTGAACAGATGAATTTCTTCACTACCAGCAGTGTTTGTAAACCTTAACTACAAAACTTGGGGACTACATTCCTTTGTCTTTCACGATTCCCATATATGCAGCTTTAATTTAGATTAGTGCAAGGCTCAGTAAATACCTCTTGATTCTGCAACTCCCCTTGTGTAGGAAGCTCTCTGACCACATTGAGCACAGAAGCAGATCATATATAAATAATAACAGACTATACATTGCCAACAGTAGTCCTTTTTTATTACATCATGCACAGTTCTATTTATAAAGTTTCCCTTATGCTTACATTCTGAATAAAATTCAAATCTTTGATACTTAGCTGCATCTGACCTGCTCCCCCAAGCCTCCTAAAAAATGGTAAGAGTGCACTGTGCTTGGGACCTATTACTGAACCTGTTTGTTTCTCAGTAGAGAAACAAACAGATTGCTTAGGTCCATTGGCAAGAGCTTCTCTTTAATTTGGACAAACTAGAGGAGAAGTGGGGATGTTGTTAGGACAAAGATCAGGTTCCAGTAACAAATGACAGATTGTGTTATGTATGCGAGAGCTTATATTTTGACCAGAAGTATGGTCTACAGCTTTGTTCCCCAACCACCAACTCGAGGGCCCCATGCTGCCCTTTGGTGCTCGATATGTGAACCTTGGACACAGGCAGAAAGCAGTGGGTGTAGGAGTACTAGGTTGTAATAGGGGTGATCTCCAACAGTCTCAAGTAGCATGTTTTCAACTACACGTATAGTGCATCCAGTGTCTCCAACCATTTACTGAAGGAAACCCATATGCCTGACAGTTCTCGGTAGCACTACATACGGATTATATCATGGCAGGGGCCACAGCTCATGCCCACTATACCTCTTAAGTTGATCCATCTGTAAAAAAAATAAGTCAAGGCAACTGAACTTGCTGTATTTTTCTTGAAAACGTTCCACTAGTCATCCAACCAGCTTTCTCAATTCGAATGTCCACTGAAAATACAGCAAGTCCAGTTGCCTTGACTTATTCTACAGATGTACCATGACCTGGATGATTGAGAACCTTCACAGACATATCTTAAGTTGATAGCCTTTAGTCTGGAGTGTTCATGTTTTATCTGCCTGCTAATGCCTTCAAGGCGTGAACTTATTTATTCATAAAAATGGTTTTCACTTATTTGTCTGCTCTACTTTATTACAATCTGACACTTCAGTTTTAGAGAACATTAAACCAGTAATATCAGGCTCAGCTATAAAGATCTTACAGTCAGATGACACTGCCAGAGCTAAATTCACACACACTCTATAAAAGGACTTCTGGGCTGTGGGAGAAAATCCCTACAAAATGAGAAAAAAAACATTCATACAAAAACCATGCAGACTGTGCCCTATGCATTATTTTGAACCTTGGACAAGTATTTAAAATTCTTGAGCATGATACATTTTTTTGCTGCAATATTTGATCATATACCTATCAAATGGAAAAGAGTGTGTAACCGATTAGGAATGCGTATATACGCAGTCATTAGCAAGCAAATTACTCAACCTTTAGACAGGTGGTTTCTAAATACACCAGAAAGTTTCGCAAACTGCAACTGCCACACCTACAGCAAACCTAGTCTGTTTTTAATTGCTATTCATTTCATTATTTTGGATACATAACATAAAAGGTAGGTTACATTGCACATTCCTGACAAATGACAGTGAAAAATAGTTCCTAAAGCCGATTCACTTAAAAGGGGCAAATCTATGCATAGAATAGTTATGTGTAAACTATGTTTTACCTCAATATTCTATTAGCGCAATCATAGCTGGTTTTATATACAATAGATTTTCAGCTATAAGGCTTTCAATTAGACTATCATATTTCTTAAAGTGACTCAATCTCTGCGTCAATGAGAAGGAAAAAAAAGGGATTAGCAGAAGGGGCATACAAGTTTTGGTTAGTATCAGAGCTTCACAACTTTCTTCCATCCCTACACACATCGCCATTGGTTCATTACTGTGATGGGCTGCCTCACTGGCCAACAGTAATGTGTGGAAGGGGCAAGCAAACTCTCATTACATTGAACTGCTGGGGTTTGAGAAGAACTGCCTGTCATTACAGTGCAAAGGGGACAATAAAAGCTGCTGCATGTATGGCCAAGCACTTCATAGCCGTAAGCAGCTTTATTTATATTTATTCATATTCATTTTTTTTTTCTACTCTAATGTGCACATATGCATCAAAAATATTTAGGTAAAAACAGGACAACGAAAAGCCAGAGACAGACTGCAATGAAAATATTAAAGGGAATGTACAGTACATCAAGAACTGTACTTTGATACTAGCAGGTATGGCCGCTCCCTTCTCACCTTGCACCTCATGGCAGCTTGTAAAACATATTTTATGTTCCAACGCCTTCAAAACACAGAAGCTTAATGTATAATATGAGGTGCAGCTTGTGATTTAAAGGGACATTAACCCAATTCTTTAATTTTCATGCATTACAGAAAGGCTTTCTGTATATCCTTGGTGGGGTTATGTCAGCAGTTTTAAGACAGTAATTCTTCTATTATTGTTACCCTTTTGGAAGAAACAGTTGCCCATGTGTAAGAATTTGCAGACTCACTTTAACGTGGCTCATCTCTTTCCAAATTGCAAATGCTATGATCTACAGTGCAAATGGATTTAGAAGAGGGTAAAGGGGAGAGATTGCTAAACCACTTTCTATAGCTGTTTGTTGTACATAAACTGAACTGTCAATTACAGTGGATATAAAAAGTCTACACACCCCTGTAAAAATACCAAGTTTCTGAGATGTTAAAAAAAAAAAATCAGACCAAGATAAATCACTTCAGAATTGTTTCCACCTTTAATGTGACCTATAATCTACATCATTTAATTAAAAAAAACAATTAAAATAATGTGGCTGCATAGGTGTAAACACCCTCTTATAATTAGGGATGTGCCTGTGTTCAGAATTAACCAATCACAAGTGGAGAAAATATGGAACAGTGACTTTACTAAGAACAGGACATTGCTCATTAAATTGATGAAAAAACAAGAAACTCCTACCCCAAAAGACTGAATGTGGTCATAAAATCAACAGGTGCTTCAACAAAGTATTAGTTTAGGTCAGGGGTCTCAAACTCAATTCCCTCGTGGGCCACTCGACAAAATGTTTTCTCCCATGGGGGTCGCTCGCCAAATTTCAAACTTTAAAGAACTATGAGGTGAGTGATTTTCACTCAGCTTCATAGTTCGAGCAGACATGTGACAATGAAACTGTCATACATCGGCTCAATAGATTGAGAAGTGAGCGAACGCATACCGTCGCTCGGTCACTTCTCTACCCTGTCCCTGCAGAGAGCCGTGACTGTCGGTCACGGCTCCCTGCAGGTATCCCCCCTCAGATCCTCCAGCGCTGACTAGAGGAACGAACAGGGGAGGGGGCGGGTACAGCTGGCTCTGCCTCTAGATAGGCAGAGGCAGCTGTCACTCACGCAGCTGGGGGGGTCGACAGTAATGTCGGGATCCATCCCGGCAGCGGCGGTCTCAGCATACCACGAGCTGTAGCTCCCTGTATACACTGAGCTTTGGGTCATGGGAGGACGCTAGTTTATGTCCTCCCGTGGAGAACTATGGGGAAAAGCACTTACCACATAGTTCTCCTTTAAAATAAAATGTAACTATATGCGATATGGTACTACGGACCCCAATACACACAATAAGGCCCCATTCATATCTGTAGGTTTAGGTTTCCTGCGTCAGAAACTTGTGTTTTCCTGCAGCAGGAATCCCTAATCTGATGTTTACACGCAGCCGCTGTCACCCATTCAAGTTAATGATCAGGTGATAGCAGTTGCATGTAAATGTCTGCACACTGCATGTAATTATATGTGATATTATAACATGCGGTTAGAAAACACTCTCCCTGGATATACAATCATTGCACCCATGGAGAGCGATTGGTAACTTCTGTCACCTGATCATTAACTTGAATAGGCGACAGCTGCTGCTTTTAAACGCCAGATTAGGGATTTCTGATGCAGGAAATGCATGTTCCTGATGCAGGAATCCATAATTGCACCTAAAGATACAGGTGTGAATGGAGCCTAATACACTTATACCCACCCCCCCACCTAATCTAATCAATCCTTTCGGCCAGTGTTTAGCAAAGACTACGGCCGAAAGGATCCGAGTGCCGGCACAGAAGCAGCTATGCGGTCTGCATCAGACAGAGATGCAGACAGTGTAGCTGCTCCCGCAAGTCTGGTACGCGGTCCGTGACCGTGTACCAGACTTGTGAGCGGGCTGCAGGCCACATAGTACCGGCTCGCGGGCCGGTACTTTGAGACCACTGGTTTTGGGTGTGCTTATTTATGCAACCACATTATTGTAAGTGAATTTGTATTTTTCCCACACTTAAAGATTTCAGTTTGTTTTTAATTGAATTTCACAAATTAAAAGGCCATATAAAGAGGTAGAACATTTCGGAAGTGATTTATCTTTTTTTTTTTTACATCTCAAAAAAATGTAATTTTTACAGGGATGTGCAGACTTGTTATATCCACTAACAGCTAAAATATTTCAAGGGGTACAAGCCATGAACACGGCGGCGCTTTGCAGCTATATTCTGAGATCTAAGTCTCCTACCATACAATCTCTTCAGAAAAAATAGCTATTATGTTAGCCCAATGATGAAGATGGCACACATATTGCACATTTTACAGACATCCCATAACAAAATGGATGAGCCCCATGTCCATGTGATGAAAAAAAGAGGAGCCTATGGCATTGTACCATATTATACGGTTAACAACTAGTTCGTGTACTTTGAAGTAGACGTCCAGCTAAGTATTTTTTTTTTATTTAGTTTTGGATAGAGTGGGGAAGGGTATGTCACCCTGTCAGGTTTTTACTGCTCTCTGGGGTCTGTTAGAGATCTCACAGTGACAACTTTTTACCACAGAGTAAGTGATGGGAACCCACCAACAACACAACAAATTAAATTGCACTAGTAAAATCTACTTTAATAGATTGTGTCCCTTTTGCAGATTTTCCCTCACTTCCTCTCAAACAGTTGTCAGGACAGGAAGTGAGCTCCAGATAGCAGTAGAAACCAAAACAAGAGTTCTAAACCTTCTCCACTTTAACAAAAACTAGAAATGACATTTTTGGCTTAATAGACCCTTTGTTATCCTTCTTTTTCACAGTTATGGTGTGCATCAGATCACAAGATTACTCCTTTAGGAATATGCAGAGGTGTCACGCCACATATTAAGTAATGTAGTAATTGTTTGGGAACAGCCAGAAGAAATTTGTGTTGTATAGCATGAAAAACATTGTTATTTTCTTACTTTAGTCAGCGTTTGTCCTAGTAATCCTTCAAATGCCTTCACGTTAAGTTGTGGACCATTATAATACAATAAACTTTGTGCTTTTCTCCCAAGCCAGTATATAGTGATCAATACCTAGGGGGGGGGGGAAAGTTATTAGAAGCAATCCAAATATAAAAGATAAGTAAGCTTTTGTGTTATATTAACAGGCGCACAGAGTAATTTGGAAAGAGAAAGCCAGAAGGTAACCTGCCCTGAGATATGAAACTGCACATAGCACTCATGGTGAAGGGAATTCAGTAAATGCATAATCTCTGTACGGCAAACAAGGAAAACAACTGTCCTCGTCTATAAGCCAACATGTCTACACATTTGGTTAAGGGGTCTGTGCTGGAATGGACTTCATTACAGTTAAAATGTCTAGTCATTTCGTCACATCAGATCCCAAAGCAGTGGGGTCCACAAAGAAAAATTTTAGTACTATTGCTACCCTCCATCACTTGCAGGGAAACGGCAAGTAGGGTAATGCTTGCATATGACAACAGGTTCACTTTAACACTTCCTATATTAGTGCATACTCAGTGGTAAAATTACACAGTCAGGTCAAAAAAGACACACATCCAGCGTGTTCAACCTATAAAGATGAGGGAAAAAAAAGAAAAACCAGAACTCTATGCCCACAGTTACCCACTGTTGATCAAATCTTTTACTTAAGTTGAACCCCTTTCACAAGTTTTATATGGAGACCCACTTTCATGATGTACATGATAGATTAGCATCTTTTTTTTCCTTTAGCAGCCCCTATATCATATTTTGTTATTGGAAGGAAACACATTTTTTATATATTAGGGGAGGATTAAAACAGCTGTTCTTTTTTTGGTGCAACCAGAGTCTCATTAGGGAGAATTCCCTTTCTGTCAAGCAGATGAAACAGGAAGGGAGAAGATATCTTTCCAATATGAGGGACCTCCCTCTTAAGCTTACCATACACCTTACAATCTGATTGTACAATTTCCTTCAGATCTACCAACAGCAATGTATTGCAAGGGCCTGTGACTGGATGCAGATTGATTGTATAGACTACATAGGTGCTCATATTGCATAGTTTCGGTAGGATTTAAAGTTATTGTACAAAGATTGTATGGTCAGATTGTAAGGTGTGAGGCGAGCATAAGTTGTCACTAAAACAACTACTCCTGTTTTGGCGGTAACACAAAATGTTGGATTCACAATAAAAAACCTAAAATGGTTCTAATCCCTCACCTCTCTATCCAGGTCTCAAAACTGCAGAACTGCAATTATAGATCTTAAAACCTCTTTAAGAGCCAATTCACACAAGCTGCTGCGCTAAACTCTGGTGCGGATGTGCCAATCCCAGCACATCACACTGTGTACTTTGTTTTTGGTAGAACTTTACTGAAATGTCACAAATGACATTTCATTCTGATCTATGGGCACATCTGGGAGTGTGTCTGTCAGTATGTCGTACTTTTTTCCAGCGCACACCACCACGTTCCTATGGCAATGCAGTGGTGTGAATCAAGCACGTCTGTGACAAGGCAAATTGACTTGTCTTGCGTTGGGGCTGTGCTGGAAACAACTGCCACTGCAGCTTCAAGGCATATGGTGTGAATCGGCCCTAATAATTTGTACATGAAAAGAGCAGAGGTATAGGGTATCTGCAAGGCATGTGCTCAGCTGTGGCAAACATTTTGTGCATGCAGCCTGGTACAAGTGCCAAGTGTTAATAAGGAACTAGAAATGTGACAGGCCGTCCACACATGCACGAACTTCAAAGACTCATTACTTTCTAGTGTTATTTGCCATCAACTGACATGCATGCTAAGCTGCATGCTCCGAATGTTACTAGAATAAAGTGCACCGTGGGCTTGAAGCCTGCATGGTGAGGGAGGGGGAAAGGGCATGGGGGACAGGGCTGTTTAAAAAAAACTACACTTGTTCTTTAAACACACCGCTACAAGAAAGCAAGCTCTATGGATATTTGGGTTTCATTAAAAATAAAAGGTAAACATCCAATACCACCGAAAAGTTGTAAAAGCTAAATCCGGGGGAATACTTTTTTTTGTAATTAGATTTGAATAGAGTGAGAGTGTTAAAAATAGAAGATGTGTGAGATTTTATACTGCTGTTTCTATCATCCTGTACCAGTGCAACCTGTTCCCTTTGTTTACCTGATGTCACAAAAACAGAAAATGATGGGAAATTGCTTTATGGGGTTGCAGGTACCAACAACTTAAAATTATAAATCTTGCCTCTGCTATCCAACATTTAAAACAAAGGTGTGGCTCAGGTAGACTTTAAATGCTTCAAAACTATAGTGCTGCTCTCATGAGAAACCCGATCCACTCTTCAGTGATACAAATGTCAATGTATTTGTATTTAATAAGATGGGTTTAATAATGTTATCATTGCTTTAAGCTCATTAGTCTAAGCCTGTATAAGGTTTAGAAAGGATTTAAAAAAGTTGTAATTACAGCAAATGTTATAATAAATTGGAACTGGAGACTGCATGAGGCTTTATATTATAAAGTGTTGCTCGATTTTGCACCAGGGCCTCTGGCTTCGTTAAATTTCTACATTAGATTCTGATATTTGGAAATATTTTGAGAATATAGGTAAAAATGACAAACTAACATTAACTGCTACAAGAATGAATGTATTCTGAATGCTAAATATAGCATGCAGCATACCACGAGGACTTTTTTCTATGCACTGTTAGGTTTAGGTGGAGAAAAGGGAACTCCTGTAGTGTTTGCTTTATGATGGATGGATGGACATACCAACTCTTTACAAATTTGGACTGCTGTCAACAAACCAGAGATCTTTCTCCCAAACATGTCAGCGGTATAAAGCCATCAAGGCTCTTACCATCCTAGAGTCCCCCTGGATACGTCTGCTGTAGTACACCCCTGTTATTTGTTGACAGTTTAACACCCAAAGTATATATATGTACAACCAATGGAAAATGTGCCACACGAAATGTCCCATCCTCTCTCACTATTTACTAGAGAGAGTCACGTCTTTCAAAAAGTAAAGAAAGCAGCAAAAAGTGGGTTGAAAACACAAAAAAGTTCATTATGTAATTTACCAGAATTTCCAATGACAAAAGCTGTGTCAGGCAAACAATCCAAGTTAGAGTATACTGGTGGCGAGTAACTCTTAAGGCCTGGCTAGTAGCTCAGGACTTGAAATTTTGAGCCCTGGTATAATGTACCAATGAACTTTATAACACGAAGACATACATCCACTACACAGAAACTGCACACTATTTCATGCAACAATGAAATCCAGAGAATACATTGATACTTACATTTTTTAATCTTCTTTCTGTCTCTTCCTGCCTGAAAGAAGATTAAAAGGGAATAACATGAGCACACAGCTATCATAAACCATGCAATTGTGCAAAGAAATAACACTTTAGAACCCTGACGCTAATGAGCGATTACCAAGGACCAGCACACCCTGATCCTGACATGCCCAATCAAGTGGGAACATTGAATAATACCACCCAACAGTTATTGTACAGTATTTTCCCACAATTCAACCAGAAAGATGAATAGGCTATTTAAATGTAAGGGAGCAGCATTTGTGTCATGTGGATTTGGATAGCAATATTTCTGCAATCTACATAGGGTACAGCTATAAACCTTTAATATACAGGTAGGCATGACCCGACTTGTTGCATAAGAGATTTATAGGACATAAGTCAGAGAAAAAAAAAGCCTTAAAGTGACATTAAAGTCAAATGTACCCACCCCCACTGCTGCTATAAGGACTTACCTTAAGTGATGCCTCTTGATCTGAACATCATCTTTCTTCCAGTTTTCAGCAATCTCTCCAGCGCTGGTGCCGGTCTCTGATACAGAGCGGACCGCAGTCTTTACCTGTCCCACGGAGTCTGTCCATTGTGCACCCTCACGGTTGTGTGCATTGACTTATAGCGTCTCTCCTCTCCCTGCCAATAATCTCCATTGCGCATGAGCCCGCACACATCCTCCCGCACGGCCGCTCATGAAGCTGGATTCTGCAGCCAGGAGTGAGTGGCGGAGACACAGGTAAGTTTTTACCTATTTGGTAGCTTTTTAATTAAATGTGTATGCATATAAAGTATCTACTGCTTGCTAACAGTAAATATATGTAAAAAAAAATAAAAAAAAAATATAGGCTTGCGGGCACAGTTACCGCGCTCGTGAGCGAGCGCGATACGCTCACGAGCCGGGGGAGGGGCAAGACGTCTCAAGACGCCCTCCCGCCCCTACAAGACTCCCGTCCGGCCGTCTACCAACGCCTGCGGACGGGAGGTGGTTAAAAACATTACAAACATTACATGAAAACGTGGTACAATAAAAAGGTATTTTCAAGGCTGAAAAGCAGTTCCCAGACCGAATGGCAAGCGCCAACCCAAACACAATAATACATGAGTAATAATGAATCTGTAAAGTTTGGTAATGCTAAACAACCAGATTTCCCTTTACTGCAGCTAAATCAAATGTCACCATCAGATTCTGACACGTGCAGAGAAACCTAACGCAGGTAGAATAGGGATTTATGCATGTTGTGTATATCTCAAACATGCCTCTAAGTAAAATGAATGGCATTATGCATAAGGACAGGAGTGGGAACAGTAAGCATGGAAAGTAACAAGATCAGAGGACAAAAGCAAATGCTAATGTACACATCAGGAGGGATAAACAAGTGTCTGTTTTTAACAGACTGCTTCCACCATCTGCAAAAACCTAGGCATTAAATAAATGTCAGTCATTTACGAACAGAAACCAAAAACAAGCTCAGTCATGAAGGGGTTAACCTGATTGCCATGATGTATTCCAAATGTCACTGACCACACAGAATAGGGCCAGCTAAGAAATGCAAGGTACATTAAGGGCAGTCAAAGGCTCAAAGCAGCAAAGTGGATTTTCACTCTAGAAATTGTCTTTTAGCACTCCTCTCACCCCTTTTTTTTATTACTTAGGCCCCACCCCATGCCAACATTCTTGCTAGCCCAAAATGACGTGCCAGACAGATAGGCCAGAGGATGAGCATGGATGGCAGCATCTCATTGGGGGGAGGGGGGAGGGGAGGCGTTATTTAGGCAAGATGCTGGAAGAAAAAAAAACACAGACTGCTCATAAAGTTGAGTAGATGGCGATGCAGGACTTGCATTTGCTGTGGTGGTGGATTTCAGCAGGACAATGCTGGATTTGCTGGGCAGGCAAGTATGTTTTCTTACCTGCAGAACAAGTATGAGGGGGTGAAGTTCCTCTTTAAATGTGTGATAAGGTGACGTTAAGGGCTTTAGACTATTCCCAGAAGCCAGTTATAAAACCATTTCATAACATCACAAAACGTCATTAGTGAACACGCCTAGGACAATAAACAGTTGTAATGCAAGACAAAAACACACGCAACTAACATCTCAGAGGGAAACCATGTTGTCTGAGCTGAGTAGAGCTGTTTTTTCTACCTTTTGTGTATTTGCTGCTGTAATATAAGGTAATAATGCATTTACTGGCCTTACCCAGACATACTAGTCTGATGCATCAGTTTACATGACACAAGAAGCTGTGGAGGACCATATGGGGCTTATGGAGTCTCGGCATTAGCTTAGTTTAGTACCCACATCCCATATTAGCTAAAAAAGATAAACAAGCTAAACAACCTCAGTGAATCCACCTCTCAAGCCTATACATATATATTTATTATAGACTTGGTGGATTCTTTATGGCCTCCTGAAGGAGTGTGGAGAGGCCACAGACAACACGTTTTAAAAGGATCGAGGTTCAGCTCTTTCGAAGATGAGAGGCATTAAAATTGTTGGAATTAAATCATATATACTCCGCTGCAGAGAGCCCATGAGGAGAGCATCAGAGGGGGCCACAGGGGACCAAAGGGAGAAGGAATCTCCACAGGCCTCAAGCTTCCAAACAATAGATATCAGGAAAATGGGAGTCTCAATCACATCCAAGTACTCAAATGTTGCAGCGCCTTTTCCTCCAAAACTTAGAATAATTAACCAAGTGGCAAAATCTATATTCAGTGCCACTAGAGAGCAATTAGAGCACATTCACAGATCCATAGATTCCCATTTATTCGCACAGCAATTGACCCTAATCATGCATCTATTTCTAGGTTTAGAACCCACCATTCAGTCATAAAGTGCTATAGTGTAAGAAGTATCTTGTTTAGGTCACAAAACAGTCAGTCAATGTATGTAATAAGAATCTCCACTTTGTGGATTACAAAAATCTACCCCACTTTCTCCCTGGCTGTGACTCTAGCTAGGGAGACAAAGGGGATACATTTTTTTTTTTTGTTATTATACATACACGCTGCCTCCATTGACTTGCATTGCGTCTCTGCTCATCTCCTGGGCGAAGATCTGACTTGTGCTCGCCCCAAGATCCTTTGCGGATCAAGAATCTTCAGATGTTTGGACAGGAGCGTGCGGCAGAGACACAGGAAAGTTTTAACCCTTTTGAAAAGTTTATTTAAATGTTTTTGCATATATCTATCTACTGCTTGCTAGTTTTGCTTTTACTTACAATTATTGTTTTTTCCACTTTCTTATTCTCTTGGGCATTAGTAATGTAATGTGCCCAAGCATTGCATCCTGGGAAGGCGACATCAGCAGTGCATTGCTGGGAAATTTCATCTGTAATCTCATGAGATCTCAGGGAAAGGTATTTTCCTCCCCTGAGATGTGCATGGTCACATGTCCTAGTCACATGTTCCAGAATTCCAGGAAGTCTGTACATATACACACACACGTATGGGTAAAGGCCCTCTTTAAAATGATGTACAAGATAACCTATGCACATATAGTGTACCAACTACTTGGTGGCCCGTCTGACTTGTTGAGATCACTTCGATAAGATTAAAATCATGGTTTTATCCAGTAAATTATTGCAGGACCATTTATTAAATATACTTTAGGGCAAATGGTAGGATCTAATCCAATTTTCAACATTTTCCTAAACACAGGCATTACAAAGTACTTCATTTAAATGTGGATTGACTTCACTTGGTGTCTCCATTCCTCCGGAAAACAGCACTGTAGCTCACGTCAACAATTTCTAATAGCCACAATACTGTTCCTTCTAGCCAACAAACAGTACAGAGACAATAGAGAATTTAGGTAACTGTATACAGAACAGGATTACTGCAAATAACCACCGAGTAATATAAGCCTACTTTTAGGTCTGATATTTGAGAAGATCAAAACAATGAAGAGACCAGGTTCCCTATGGCTGGCTTACAAATGGCATGAGAAATATTTCTGAATAACTAAAGTAAGAAAGGTTGTCTTGAAATACTGCTGGTATAACAAAATTCCATAGAATTGTAACACTACACAAAGGCAGATCTTTAGAATCTGTCCAATATACGGTAATCATAAAAGAATGCCAACCTTGGCCCTGAAATTTAATAGAAAGGCATTTTTTTTTTTACCAAGACGAACTAGTCAATATTCTCCACTTTGTTCCTAAAACATTGCAACCTCAACTCAGTCTCATGAGGGAGAATTACAAAGTCCTGAGCCTGCTCATTCCTGGTTCAATCCCTGCAGCCTTAAACATGGATGCTTATAACTAATCTTAATTGGTGAACATCAGACTTCCAATGAATGGAGCTAGCCATACACAACGCGAATACCACCAATTTCTCGTGAATTGGCCAAAATTTGATCCATGGGTTACCTCGCCAGCACCACCCAGCTAGATGATTTCAAAAACGAAGGAGCCAAGCGGAAGATTGTCAGCCAGTCACTTCATGTTTTCGGATGCAGTCGCTGTTCAGCTATTCAGAAAGCCATGGATGAAGGTGACTGACTGAATATACTAGCTGGCACTGCAGATTGGTCCATCCATTTTATTTAGCATGGATGTTAGAAATCACATGATTTCTCTTATTCAGGCCACAGAGAGATCTACACATGTATGTCTAGCCTACGAAACGATTGTTGACTTAGAATGAAAATTTGGAGTATGCTCATTTGGCCAGCTTTAGCAGAATCTACATAATTATTTAGAGGATAATGCACCCCTTACAGTAGATTAAAAGTCTTTTCTTAAACAATGAATTATAGGATAGTATAACTAAAAATACATAAGACTGAGTGCTTTTATACAGGTCATGGAACTCAGAGTGAATTTCTCATGCCTTATTACAGAAGCAGATCTATTAACCCCTGGTAGCACATTCCACTATCTCCTGTACCCACCCTTTTCCGATCTCTGATCCCTCTAACAGCGTTTCCAATTAAATTTCCCATTGATTTCAAGTGCCCCCCTCCTTAGTCATTAAAAAAACACTCCTGATTTCGTCAACCAAGCCAAAGGGC